CATTCACAAACCCCACTCCTCCCAGCGCTCCCCCCATAGGCACCTCCCTGAGAGTCATCATCTTTTCGGGCTTCATCGTTCTGGATCTAGTGTTACACCAAGGACCTTCACTATCCTGAGCTGCTGAGTCAGGTGTGTTCGAACCCCAGTCCAGAGGTGGTAAGGGGACGGATGTTGGTGCCGGAGAGGAGGACCAGCCTGGTGGGTTAGAGTCTGAAGCTGGGTTCTGGTGTGAGGGTTCACCCGGGGAAATAGGGAGAGTTACTATAGGGGCGGGGGAAGGTTCCGCCCCAGGGTCAGGGACCTTAGGTGGAATCAAGGATGCTGTTGGAGGAGGAGGAGAATTTGGGGATATTGCCGAAGGAGTCGGCCCGGAGAGAGAGATTGGGGGTGCAGTTTGGGTAGGTGCTGGGAGGGTAGATACAGGGTTAGGGTTTGGTAATATTGGGACATTAGATGGGGGTGGTAGTGGGATGACAGCTGGAGGGGCTAATACGGGAGGTAAAGGGTTGAGGTTCAGGTTTGGGTAAAGTGGGGGTGGAGGAGGTGGTAGATGGTCTAGAGGATCCCAGGTCTTATGGGTGGCTTGTTTCCCTCCGCTTTCCTCCTCATTCTCTCCCTTTTTCTTTAACTTATGGATTTTAGCGCTCTCATGGCTGATATTTCTCAGCCAGCATGCGGCATATTCCATCTGCTCCACATCTGGAGCCTCCTGTGTTTTTAAATAATTGTTCAGCTGGGAGCACATCCACTGGTCACTTGTTCCACACCGAGGCCATTTCCCTGGCAATTTGTATGTGGGCCAAACCTCAGTACAATAATAGATCATTTTTACTTGATCTAGTGTCCTGGTGGCCTCCCGTGACTCCCAGCGGTCTAACATCTGCCCTAATGGGCTCTCCAGGGGGATATTTTTCACCTCTTTGTCTTGGGGCATTCCTCTCTTACTCACACACTTTCCCATTTTTAAACTTCTAACTTAAATCCTCTCTAAGGTGCCCCTACCCGAACGGAAAAGTACTGACGGGCAACACAAAATCTCTTTTTCTTTTCCCTCCTTTCTTTCCTGTGAGGCGGGCGCCCCCACAAATTTGCCCATTTGATTTGCAAAACGAAGGAGGGAACCAACAACTTAACACACTCCTCAAACAAAACTGCTCAACTCCAACACAAACCTTTTCCCCCCAATCTAACTTAATCCCTCTCAAATACTCACTTACACTCCAGGGGACAAACACACAAGAATACACTCACACTCGCTCACCCGGGTGATCACACTCACACCTCTTCCCTCCGTCCTCTTCTATGAGGTGGGCGCCCCCACGGATTTCCCGTTTGTTTTACAAGATGAGGGAGGGAACTACGGCACCGACTCCCTAGGCCCACCCCCTAGGCCAGCTCGATGCCAGGGCCCACCCTAGTGGTATGACCCCCTAGGTACCCCCGTGCCTTGCCTGCTCCTGGGCACTTGTTAGGCCTCACCAGCCAGGGTACCCAGTACCAGAAGCCCCCTGCGCCAGGACCTTCCTTGGCCTGACCTCCCGCCGGGTCGGACGGATCCTCCCCCGGGTCAGACCGCCCTGTTCTGGTACGGCCCCTTCCTCGATTTGATCAAGGAGGCAGGAAGGGTCCAGGAGACTCTGGTCTGCTCCCCCTATCGCCGTCCGCCCGAACGGGCTTGACCACCCCTCCCCAGCAGAGTGGCCTAGTTGATAGGGATGCGTGCGGGTGTGTGTGGCGCCTATCCTCGCCCTCCACCGGACTCCCCACCCCAGTGCCCTTGGGCGTGGGTTTACGGCTCCCCCCCGGGACCACGGCAGCACGCCACCTACGGTGCTTCTGGCTCGACCCTAGGAAGTCAGGGCCCTCGTGAGCGCTCGATGCCGGCAGTGCCTGGGGGCACTCTGTGACTGCGTGGGACTCACACAATGCCCGGGTAGTCCCCATGCCCGAACCTACCCAAGCGGCTCCGGTTCCTTCGGGGGAACCTAACCCCTCGCGTGCCACTCACTCTTAGGCTATCCCCTGCACACTCAGCGGGGGGCCTCAATAACCCCGGGAGACGCCTCTTTCACTCCTCCTCCTTTCACTTCCCCCCGTTCCCGGCCGGCCCCCTCGCAGGAGTCCAGAACCGCGGTACTAAGGGGTCTAACTCACTTCGAGGGTCCGAGCTGCCGGCTCTCGTCTCACTCACACCTCACTTGCTCGTCTCCCACGCCCGCTACTGGGGTTCTCACCCTCCGGCGCTCCTCTGCGTCGTCTGCCCCGAGCTGGTCCCTCGCTGTCCGGGTCTGTCCAGCAGTCCTGGAGGTCCAGGAAAGGCGGCCGTCTTGATCCTGGCTTCCTCTTCAGGTGTGGCACAGATCCCGGACGAGCCCCCAGCTGAAATAAATGGGCCAGGAGACCTGCTCCTTTTTAAGGCCTTTATTAGGTGACCAGCTCTGGGGTGGGGGCCCGAGGGGTCGCGCGCACCACCGCTGCTCCCACGTGGCGACGCAGAGGAGGAGGAGATCGGGTCCACTAGGCAGCAGAGTCGGGGCTTCTGTCCTTGCGGGCGTGCCCAGGAAGGCAATTTGCGGCTCGTTGCCCGGGGTCCTGACTCTGCAGTCGCGCTGTTTATATTTGTGTGGCATGTCAGTGGCTACTTTGCGGGTCCGGCGCTGTCCAGGGACCTCTTGCCGATTGTCCGATCCGGTCCGTGGCCCTGAATTTGGCGTGGCTTGTTGTCCTTGGGGCTCTTTTCGGGATTTTGCGCTCGGTTCGCGATTTGCATATTTGCTGGAGTCGGCACGGCCGCCATTTTGGGGAGCAGCGGCGGTAAAATCCTGGCGGTCACAAAGTGAAGGACAAGCGGGGCAAGGGGGAAACATAACAAGGGTGCACATAAGGGGATTTTAACGGGGTTTGAACAGTTTACAGCATTTTAATTAACATTTTTAATATAAAACTGAATTTATTCATAACACTGGCAGTTTCCCACAAGCTGCTCTGTAACAAGTCTGAGCAGGAGAAAGCTCTGCTGGTTCTGCTGGTGAATAAACTGGGTGACCCTCAGAACAAGATCGCCACCAAAGCCTCTTATCTTTTAGAGACATTACTTCACAAGCATCCAAATATGAACGGAGTAGTATGCAGCGAGGTGGAGAGGCTGTTGTACCGCTCAAACATCAATGTGAAAACTCAGTATTATGCTATCTGTTTTCTAAATCAGATAGTCCTCAGCCATGAAGAAAGTGCATTGGCTAACAAACTGATAACTTTATACTTCTGCTTTTTCCGGAACTGTATAAAGAAAAAAGATGTTGAATCCAAAATGCTCAGTGCTCTTCTTTGCGGGGTAAACAGAGCTTACCCTTATGCTGAGACTGGTGATGAGAAAGTGAAAGAGCAAATGAATACTTTGTTCAAAGTTCTGTATCTTGTGAACCTCAGTACCAGTGTCCAGGCCCTGATGTTGCTGTTCCAAGTGATGGACTCTCAGCAGACTGTGTTGGACAGGTACTACACAGCACTGTAAGTGACAGGTTTGTGTTTTTATATAAATTTCATTTTAAGAAATTGTAGAAACTCATTAAAATGAAAATAAAAAAAAGTAAATTGAAATTAATGAAAAAATAAATTGAAAATAAATTAAAAAAGAAAATAAATTTAATTTAACTTTGTTTTTAAGATCTTGATGGCTTTGTCTTTCGTTGGCTAAAAATTTCTGATTTGTAGGAGCTGGAAGAAAATGCATGCATCACAAAAGATAGTGATAGGTTCTGAGAACACATGTGCATTTCATCCTTTGCCAATCTTCTGGTGGCTTCCTTTACTTTCAGATATTATTTAAAACTAATTGATAACTATTTCTTCTGAAATCACTTTTACAGGTACTAGTCTGTGAAGTAATTAGGCCTATAAATTTGGCCCGTAAATAGCCTAAAATCTTGTTTCTTTTTGTCCTTATTTTGAAGAGGAGGAATATTATCTTAAATTTTTTAGATTTATTTTGTGTAGCTGGAAAGCCTTGTGTTACAAAAATACTGCTTTTTTTCTTGTCCCAACTGATTGCTTAGACTTTTTAGAGGATCCTTACAGGCTTCTGTTTAAATGACCAAGGGGAGGTTACTGATTTTTCAAAAAGGGAATTCAGGTTCCATGAGAATGTGCACAATTTAAGGGCCTTACTGTGCTTGGCAGCCTGGAAAAAAATTGGAGTAGAAAATTAACTTGCCAGTACAAATGTCTGATCTGATTGTGAAGTATGCTGATTTTTAACAATTTGCTTTCTTTTTTTTGGACAAATGAACAAATCAGACTAGTTTCATAATGCTGAATATCTCAAATTTTGAAACAATTTTCAGTTTAACTCAGTTTCTTTTTCTATTCTTGCAATATTTTGTTAATCAAGGAATTTTTTTTTTATCTTCAGTGTCTCATATATATCCAGAAATATTTGACAGTTCAGGATTGATCTTAATGGTTTTGAGTACTGAGGAGCAAGCTGTCACTAGTTTTTTAGCTAGCACTCAAGAAAAATGTAGGTAATTGTTGTTAATAGCAGTTGTTCTCCTGTGTGCATTGTGAGAATCAGCAAAATTTCTTCTGTGTGTCCTGCAGGAAGCTTCTAGATCCTGCTTTGGCAATGTGCTCAAAGCCCTCCATGTTTCTAAATCTTGTCTATAAGTCTCTGAAGGCAGATGTGGTGCTGCGGCGTGTGAAGGCCTTTGTGAAGAGGCTACTTCAAGTCACTTGTGGACAAATGCCACCCTTCATTTGTGGAACCCTGTACCTTCTGTCTGAGCTTTTGAAAGTAAAACCAGAGTTAAGGGTCCATTTACAGGATCACATGGTATAAGATGATTTCTTTATCTCATTGCTTTTTCAATAAGAGCTGTTTTCATAAGCACCTTTTCCTAACCTTTCATTAGTAACCATTTGCTGAGATGTTTCTTGAGATGGGGAGGGACCATTATAGTTACGTGTTCTAAGCAATAAAGTTCAATTTTAAGTGCTATATCAAGGACAAAAATCTGCATTTCTTAAACATCAACCATCATTTGTTTAAATTTTTAAAAGTAGCTCAAGAAGTTTATGTGTGTTTTTCTAAAAAATCAGAGTAAATCTAGAAAGGAAAAGCTGTTTGCTAACTTTTTTTGTTTTTTAGGGGTCAGATGATGAAGTGTGCTTTAAGGATCAAGAAGAGTCTGAAGAGGATGAGGAAAAATTTGTGGATGCTGACAAAGAAGCAGAAGATGAAAAGAAAAGTACAATGGAAAGTTCTGCTAAAGCAAACAATTCAAATTCATCAGCCTTGTGGGTGCATAATTTGAATATGAGAGGTAAATCAGCAAGAAAATACATAATTTAACAGCTAAGAGTCCATAACAGGGACATGTTGGTCAAGAGTTGTTGTAAGATTAAGTGAATAAAACATTATTTTAGTTTTTAAATTGAAGTTTGGTTGAAAGCAACCAATCAGAGCAATTTATCTGTTACCTCAGCAGTGATGAAAAGACTCTTGACTAGTGTATTTCACCGTGAAGGACAGCTGAATACAGCCTTATCCTGCTGCCAGATGAACCCCTGGCCTGTCCACCTGGGAGTGATGGGCAGCATTCCTGTTATGGGGAAATGAGAATAATACTTTTCTAAAATTGCCTGAGAAAATTTGTTTTGCTGCCCTTCATCCCACAGGCAGGAAGAGTGAAACTTCCTATGATCTTATGCACCGAAGTCCTTTATACTGTGGTGCTGAAAGTGCAAGTCTTTGGGAACTGAAGAAGGTAGGACATTTCTTGAATTGCTGTTGTTGAGTTTAAAAGTGTGGCCCTTGTATGAAGAGAGAAAAAAATAGCTTGGTCTTTCTTGAAGTAGCTGCTTGAGTAACAACAGAAAGGTTAAAGCTGACATGTTTTTCAGCTTTAAGCTTGTATATGTTCCATACAATACTGATATTCTTGCGTACAGATTAGGAAATTTTGATGTGGAGATTTCGGCAATAATAGTATTTTTTGACTATTGGATCTTAGCTTTGATCATGAAAGCTTTTTAGTGTTGACTTAAATAAAATTGTAAATGAAAATGTATTTAATGCAAATAAAAGATTAGAACTTTATGTTCTTCACTTGTTAAAGTACTTAATCAGCCTTGCACTACTATGTGTATGTCTGTTATTTGGTAAGTCACAGAGTGGTCTTACAGCATATGTTTTAATTAGAAATAAATCAATGACTCATGTTTTTCACCTTTCATCCGTCTGTGGCCCTGTTTGCAAAAACAATTCTCAAAGTAAGTGCTTTTGCTAGCTCGTTGCTTGGAAGTTTGATACTTTATGTCAGGTGTCTTTTGCCATTTGAAAAAATGCATTATAAAGTCTCCTTGCATTTTGTGGGTAACTAGCAGCTCTGCAGGACTCTATCATACTCTCAAAAGCCAAGCTTTTCATGGAATTACAATGTTATGTGTAAAGGAGACTGCTTACTAAAGTTTTAGTTTTGTAGAAATGTAGGTATTATATTATTCTTAAAGCTTTATTAGAGTTTTTAATATATATATATATATATATATTTTTTTTTTTTAATATGGGAAACCTTACTACAGGAACAAATTATTTTTTAAATACTGTTGGGGTACCGTGCCAAAACCACTCCCAACTTTCACACATATGTATTGAAAATATTTATTTTCCATTTGAATATATGATGTTGAGTATTGACTGCTGTTAGCACGGTACATTGCAAGGCAGTTTATCACTGAAACAGAGCAAAGGAGTTGTGGTTTAGTTAAGCAAACAATGAAATTGCAAAAAGAAGAACCTGGTCAGCATTATGTGATATACTATCCCCAAGTCTTTATCTTTTGAAAGTATGTTTTAATGTTGTTCTTGAACTGATTGAGTCCTCTGTGTTTAGATGGTGTTTTTTGAAAATGAAGACCTTAATGGTTTTTGGCTTTTTCCTTCTTTCAGGGAAATCATATTCAGTACTCTGGCGACCCTTTGCAGGATTTCACATTAATGAGTTTCTTGGATTGTTTTGTCTACAGAAATCCCAAAGTCAGCAAAGGCAAAGGTGGGCACTTCTCTGTACCATGGGATCTTGGTTGTAGGGACTGTCTGAATTGTCATTCTCTCAGATTGGCCTTGTCAAGTATTTGGGGTGCATGTGGTAGAACAGAGGAGTGACATCAGTCTTCAGGGCTGCTAGAGAGATGTCTGCAACCCTGAACCAGCTGACAGCCACATCCTGCTGCCCCTCACATCCGCAATGCAGAACTGCTCACTTAGCAGGAATAAGTCAGGGATAGGGAGATGTAAACACTGCAGAATGGCTGAGGCTAGAAGCGACCTCTGAAGTCATGGGCTCAAGCAGAGACACCTAGAGCAGACTCTCCAGCTGGCTTTTGAATGTCTCCAAGACTGGAGACTCCACTGCCTCTCTGTGCAACCTGTGTCAATGCACAGTTGTGCTCACAGTGCAAAAGTGTTTCCAAGTGTTCAGCTGGAGTCGCCTTCATCAACTTAGTGACCCATCACTTGATTCTCTCCAGTATGCCCATGTCAGCCTTATACTGGAGAGCCCAACCTGGGCACAGGGCTCCAAGTGTGGTCTAACAAATGCCAGGAAAACTATCAGCCTTCTTTGCTGCAGGGACACAGTGTTGGCTCACAGTAAACTGGGTGTCCACCAGGACTACCCGGGTGTTCTTAGCCAAACTGCTTTCCAGCTGGGCAGCCCTCAGTATATACTGGTACCTGGGGTTGTTCCTCCTTCAGTGCAGGCCTTTGCCCTTCCCCTTGTTAAACTACAGGAGGTTTCTGTCAGCCCATTTCTCCAGCCTCTTGATGTCAGTATGGATGGCAGCACAACCCACTGGTCTGTCAGCTAATCCTAACTGTTCTGTATCAATAGTCATAAAATAAAAATTCTCTCTGATTTATATTCTGATACAGAAAACACCAGCAGTGCGGTAATGCAGCCAAAGAAGAAGCATTTTATGAAGGATATGCAAAATCTTGCAGGTGAGTCAGCCCCTTAAATCAGTAATGATGACTAAAAAAATCCTTGGTTGGTTGATGCAGATGTGTCATCTGCACTGTCTATACTGTTTGTCTTAGAATAAAAGAAAGTGCCATCCATCAGGAGTGCAGTGGTCATGCCTGGAGTTTAGGATCAGACCTCATCTTCTTGTAAGGATGTATGGAATCTTCACAGTTGGAACTTTGGATCTATTGAATCATTTGAAGAAAAAATTATGTAGGGAAAGTCAGTTACTATATAGCCATTTTTATTCTGTTGTTATGATTGAAAAATGGCTTAAAATACCAGAAAAATGGATCTATATAATTATTTAAATCACATTAAATTCTTTCATTGAATGATATGGATTACTCTATACAATACCACAGCTGCAGCTTTTGTTAGGATGAGTAAGGTATCTTTAACGTTGTTATTTTGCTAAGAGTCTTCCTGCCTCCAGAGCCTTTTGCCCAGTCCCACTGTTTCCAACAATCAAGAGTAGGATTTAGTTTAAGAACCAGCAAACTATCAGTAAAACATGCTGCTTGAGGACAGAAGATGTACCATCATCTGTGGCAGTGTCTCTCTAGCATTCCCAGGGATGTGCTTTTCCACCAGCTTTGGGTCTGTTGCGTGGCAAAGAGGTTTTAGTTATGCAGATTTGTAAGTACTGATGTACTTTAAAGGCTGGTTTTATGGCTGTTAGAGCTTCTATTTGGCCTGTATACTTTGTCACATTTTTTAGTTTATTCAGAGTTGAAGAAGCATTTTAGGAGCAATTCTGTCCTGAGGAATATACTACTAATAAATAAATTAAATAGTGGTGTAAGTTTTGAGATTAAAGAAAATCATCTTAAAAACCTGCCGCTGTCTGAAAAGTTAACAGTGTTGTTTCATTGAAGATGGCTGAAACTGAGATTACACATTTAAAGTCTTTGGTACAAAGTACTCTTTTGTATATGGTCAAAATTGCCTTCTGTGTTAGTTTGAAGAGGTTTTCAGATAAACTCCCCATTGTTGAATGGATGACACCATGTGTCTGCTTCTGTCTGTTTGTGCTGCTTAACCTCTGGAAAGAATAGCCAGCATTTCAACTTGGGGTAAAATCAGTTCATTTTTTCATTTTGCAGTCAACAGTAAGGAATTCCGGGCCAAAGATGAAAGCAAAATCCCAGTGGATGAAGTGTTTTTTCACAGGTAATGGAATACTTGTGAATGTTCATTTTAAATGTTGTTTTTTTAATGCAGTGCCATTAAAACCCACGGCATTTTGTAAGTATTCTCTGGTATTTCAAGTATTTGCAAATATTTATTAATTTGAATGACATAAGATGATAGTGCTTTTCTTGGACATCATTTTAACATTTGTCAAAAGTGCTTAGGAAAGGGTATCACCTATGAACAAAGGCAATTGGGGCTTGTAGTTTAAGTAAATTAAGTAAGCTGACATTACAATTGAGAAGCCTTAAGTCATGGGTAATGATGAATATCTTGTGGGTTGTAATTCTTGTGCATTAGAAGTATATATACTAAAAGCTGTACTATAGCTTATTTATGTTATTAGCATCAAAGCTTACTAGAATGGAGCAAAGCAAAAGAAAGAAGAGCTACTTTTCAGGTTTGTATTATTTATTTGTACTATTTAGGTTTGTATTACTTACAGTTCTTTCTGTTTCTTTGGATTTCCTTTGAGATTATGATATAATAATACACTGGTACTAAAATTAAAGTGATATGCATTTGGCAAAGATTTGTTTTTATTGGATCAAAATACTGACTACCTATATCTCCTTAGGAAATTATTATTTGGCTTAACTTCATTTATTTAAAATTAATTGATACTATAATATTGAGGAATATACTACTAATAAATAAATAGTGGTTTCATTTCAAGATTTAAGAAAAGCATCTTGAAAACATGCCCACCTGAAAATTTAAAGGTGTTGTTACATTGAAGATGGCTGAAACTGAGATTTACACATTCAAAGTCTTTTGTACAAAGTACTCTTTTGTATATGGTCAAAATTGCCTTCTGTGTCTGGTAGGTCTTTAACATAAAATGAATATGAAAATGGCTGACAGAAGATAAAACTAAGACCCAGAAGAAGTGGGCTATGTGAGAAAATTTGGTAAAACTTGATGGGTGAATGTCTTCTTTATTTTTTCCCAATTACATTCAAGTTGAATTTGATCTTCCTTCTCAGTCTAAGGCAGATTTTTACATCTTTGTTGTGCTCTTTTATAAATTCATTATGTTAAAAATAACTTCTGCCACCTTTGGCCCGTGAAATTTCATTGCTTTAAATATTACAGTAGTGACTGATTATTTGAAAAACAAAGGAAGTACAAGTCTCTGCATTTTAGGTGTGTTTGAAACCATCATTTACAGTTTTCAACTGGCAACATACATGGGAAACAGTTTGCAGATTCTTTAATTAAGAAGCTGTCTTGGTTTGACAAGACAGGAATCTGCGAAGGAGGGCTAAAGCCTCCTGTGCAATGGAGAAGGTAAACCCCCTCCCTCCGAATTACTAGGAGTTTTAAATCAAAAGGCTCTCAGGCAAAGATATGGGAATGGGAGTAACAATTCTTTACTAGGAGAAAACTAGACAACAATTTAAAAAGGCAAATGCAATCGGTACAAACAAAACCAGTGAAAAAAGTCCAGAACCTGAGGATTCGGGGTGCCAGTAGCAGTCCTGCTGAGACGATTGCTCCCCTTGCAGTGGTTGATGAACTGCAGCTGCAGTGGTGATCTTTTGAAGGGTACAGTTTTCCTCTGAAGATCTGGTGGCAGTGGGGCCGGTCTTCCTCTGCGCCGGGGTTGCCTCCGAGCTCTGCCGCCGCCGCCTCCCCGGCTGTTTCGCTGCGAGATCCCGCGAAGAGAGAGAGAGAGCTGCTTCTCTGGGAATCCCGCGAAGAGAGAGAGCGAGCTGCTTCTCTCGGAGTCCCGCCCAGAGAGCTGCCTCGTCTCCCCAAAAAGCTACCCCTTTAAACAATAATAGAGTGCTTGGCTTCCCCCTCTGGGTGGGACCCCTCACAATGGGATGGTGTTACATTTACCAGCCCAGCAGTGAGTCAGTCAATAGTGTATAAACAAACCATTGCCTCTACCGGTCAAACCATTGTCTTTGGGAGAGCTAACAAAACCTGCCCAACCTTTTGACAGATGGCAAATAGAATACAAGCTTATCTTACAACCCAGGACAGAAGCCATAAAAATCATCCTCTGTAGTTTTGTGTCTGAGTGCAATATATTATTTCAGATTTTATTCAAAGTTCGATAAGAAGAGAGAGAAACAAAAGCGTCTGGATGATGAAGAGAGTGTGGAAGATGTGGATGATGATGAATTTGAAAGAGCATTGGGTAAGGCTGTGTTCTTCCTTGCAGTAACTATCCCAGTATATCCAGATTTTTCAAATTACTAATTTATCCTTTTTATAGTTCATATGTGTAAAAGAACCAGGTAGATGAATATGGGAGTGGGAGAAAACTGGCTTTCCAGTTGCTCTTTGTGTTACTGCAGACAGCAGTTCCTGCTATGTGCTGTGTGAGCCACCTGGGTGGCTGTTTGGAAAAGTCCTTGCTCCCACCACTGCAGTAGTCAGCTTGTTTGAGGGGCTGGGAATTGTCTGATTTTGAACTTACACTCATGAGTGGCAGTTTATGCCCTTTTGTTCTTTTCCTAAGGTAGCCCAAGTAACCTTTTGTAACAGCATGTAACATTTACCTCTACTTTTTCATTACTGCTGGGCCTTTTTCAGTCTTGCTTACAGTTTCTCTTGTAGTTTCTAACATCTTTCATGAGATTATTAGTTTAGGAAGGTCATTGGCAAACTTCTGCAGTACCCTTAGCTCTTCATGTAGCATGTACTTTGCTTTGGAATTAGTGTATGATTTGTTCTAGAATTTAAATTTGTTAGTGTACCAGAAAATGTCAATTACAATGTCCATTTCAAATTTTATTTATATGTATTTAAAAAAATCCAGTTAACTCTTTATAACTGTTTTGTCCAATATTTTGAGAGAATTCTACATTCTTTTATCAGGGTTCTTAGTGACTCAATTAATTTTGTCTTAGTTATGACAAGAATCTGTTACTAATTGCATTTGTCTTTTATTATTTAGTATTTCTAATGAGAATTTGGTTCATAAATTCAGAAGCTTAAAATAATGACCCTATATCTGAAAATTAGACATTTTGCAATGCTAGAATCATAGAATAGTTTGGGTTGGAAGGGACCTTAAACATCTTCTAATTCCATCCCTCCTGCCATGGGCAGGGACACCTTCCACAGGACAGGTTGCTCAGAGCTCCTTCCAAGCTGGCCTTGAACACTTTCAGGGATAGGGCATCCACAGCTTCTCTGGGCAGCCTAGTGCCTTACTACCCTCACAGTAAAGAATTTTTTCCTAATACCTAATCTAAACTCTTTCAGTTTGAAGCCATTTCTCCTTGTCCTGTCACTACATGCCCTTGGAAAAAAGTCCCTCTCCAGCTGTCCTGTAGCATCCTTTAGGTACTGGAAGGCCACAGTAAGGTGACCCTGCTCCAGGCTGAACAACTTCAATGCTAGGAAAGGTGCTCCAGCTCTCTGGTCGTTTTTGTGGCCCTCCTCTGGACTTGCTCCAACAACTCAGTGTACTTTCTGGATGCAATTATTTGTATATTTCTTTCTAATAATACCATTTTTTTCTCCCTAGATACTTTTGAAGCTGCTGATAATGCCGTTGTTGGCCAGGATGACCTTGATTTTGCTAGGTGAGACTTCAGATTAGTTGTTACTCCTCTTGTCTTAATGTCTGTATAGAGTTTTATTCTGTGAACTAGAGAGACCTTTTTCAGAGTGGTTTAGAATATCACCTTGCAAAAAAGGCAGTATCAGATTTACATTAAATAATGCAGGTTTTCTGCATGTCCCAGAATAGTTCATGATGACTTTGGGATGCTTATAGTCCTTAAATGAGACTTGTAGTATTGGATTGTCTTAATTAATTAATTAATTAATTGGTTTATACAATGGAGTGACCCAGTAAGCACTGTAAAATCTTGTTTTTCATTGTCTCAGGTTTCTATCTGAGAATTGCCAAGTACAAAAGGAAGCAGAATGAGGCATAATGGTACTGCTGGCATAGTACTGGCTGTAACTGGACTTAACACAGTTAATAAACTTTGTGAGATCCAGAGTCACAGAGCTCAGGTCTCCTAAGTCAGCTCTTCCATTAATCATTTAGGTGGGAAAGGACCTTTAGGTTCATCGAGTCCGATCATAAATTATTAAGAAGCTTCTCTTTTACTCAAAGTAACTGTAATGCAGCATTTGAATTTGCACAGTGACTTCCCTTGAGGCAACAGCAGAATTAAAGTCTAAACTCTTAGTGAAACCTGAAACATTTTTGTGATCTTGACTGTTGTTTAATAGAGCAGTTTTTGTGTTTTACAGAAAAGACTTTCTGAAAAGGAGCAAACACACAGAGGAGATAAAATACTAAAGCTGTGATTTCTCCTAATTTCAGAATAGCATTCTCTCCAGAACTTCTTGAAAGGGTTGACACAACTGCCTATACTAATGTTGAAAACATACCCGAGTGTATAATACGGATATTTCAGGTCGCAGCCTACATTTCCAGTAGTTTGCAGTGATGTTGAACTTTTCCTAACGTAGTGTTTGCCAGTAGATAGATGTCATCTGGATGCAAACTATTTTTTCAGATGAAGTGCTAAGCTTGTTACATCTTCTTTTAGTAATATAAAGAAAAATCCCAAGGGCGGCAAGAAAGGCCAAGGTGGTGAGGGATCTGGTGCTGACTGGGAGGATTCTGATGATGAAGATGACTTCAGCAATCTGGATGATGAGGAAGTCTCCTTTGGAAGTATGGAGGAAGACTTTGAAGAGGATATGGATGAAGAGGGAGGTGTATTTATGGATGTGTCTGAAGATGATGATGACCTAGGTAAAGTGCCATTTGTTACTGAAAAGCAAGAAGAAAAAGCTTTAAAAATAGGTTACCTAATATGTAACTACATATGCAAATTCCAGTTTAGTTATCTAGGAGGGAAGTTTGGCTTTTAAGCAAAAAAATGAGAAGAGTCCTTCTCTGTAAAATGAAATCGTTAGGAGAAGCATTTCCAGGCACAATCACCTAGGTGGGAGTGGGAATTAGACATCAGAAACTTCCAAATGAGACATGTTTCTTCCATTCTGAAAATTTATACACAAATAACTGGCTTCAGTAGGCAGAAATATTAAAAGAGCTCAAGGAGAAAAAAAACAACTGGTAATTATTTATACACAGTTAGTGCTGATTTTTTTTTAGATGAAGTAACTTTTATTGGAATGGCTGTCTCACAAGTAACAGCTTACTCTTGTAATATAGCTATGCACTCAAGTTTTTAATACTACTGGAGTAGTAACTACTTCTTGTACCTGCATGGTTTTATTTTTCCACCTGAGCAGCACAGTTTACACAGAATATAGTGCATGTGGCTGGAAAAGCAGAGATTAAGTACTCTGGAGTATTTCAATGAATAACTAAAGGTCACAGGAAGATGACTGAGGGTAGAGGAGGTAAACTGTTCATACAGTTGTTAACACAATCTTTCATGAGATTATTACTTTACCAAATCTAGCATGCAGACATTTGAGGTTTACCTAATGCCTGCTTTTAGCTTTTGTGTTTTATGTATCTTACATCATTCCCTTCTGGTGCTATAGAAACAATATAAAGAACAGCACACCAAAGACCAATTTTTAATGGTCCAGCTTGAGGAAATATTAGATTTGCTTGTGTGCGCTGCCTTTTAAAGACTTGGACCATTATGACAAGTATGCTAGAAAGGAGTTTTAGTCTCTGCTGCACTTTAAATACATGTACATAGTGTGAAAATTGGAGACTATTTGGGTTTTTTCCTATCAGGACTCAAACAATGACAAGCAACTGAAATCCGTCAGTAAAAAGAGCAAGAAAAAGAAAGATGAATTTTGCAGGACCACTAGAAGGTAAGAAAACACTGACATGAAAGCTAAATAGAAATAAAATAGTCTAAAAATCTTTGGAATAGGGGGATTTACTACAGTAGATTATCACATTTTGGATTTAGATTCAGATTTGAATAAACCATAAATGAAAAGCAGGTTGGCCCAGCCAGCATAATTCAGAGTAACACTCTGCTGTTGAGGTGAGAGTTGAAGGAAGGATTTTGAAGAAGGATGATGATGTACTGGTGGCCTGTGCATCTGTTACACCTGATGCAGAGATTTGTGCTATTTAATTCTTGGTTGGAAACTCTTTTTTCCCCTTTTCTTTTAGGGGAGGTGGGGAACAAAGATTTCCAGCAATTGCTAATTCAGATGATCTCATTAAGAAAAGGTTCTAAATATTTAAAACATGGTAAAACTTCATTTTACTGTCTTTGGAAACCTGAAGTTGTGTCTCTTAGAGTAATACTCTTTGAAGGATCCAGCCGAGGAAAGAAAAGTTCAAGATGTTGGTATACTGGCATCTGCAGAAGAGGTGAGTTTGATCCGTGGTAAACAGAAAGTGATCAAGCATTTCACATGCTGCTTTGTAACAGAATGCTAAAATTTCTCTCCTTAAAGTTTGGATATCTGCTGGATGAAAATGCTGGCTCCAAGTTTGACAATATTGGAATGAATGCCATGGCCAACAGAGATAATGCGAGTAAGTACATGCTGCAAGTATCAGGCAGTTGTAATGCTGAAATTCACTTTCCCTTCAGGGTCTATACATGAAAACATGAACCACCTTTAATTGGAATACAGGGTCAGGAACCACACACAGAAGGGACAGTAGCTCAACAGTAAGACCTGACAGTTTTCTCCAGTGACGAGCGATGTCCAGTGCTAAATAATTAAGTGGGAGTAGTGGATTGAATAAGGTTTCAGAAAAGGGAGAGGCTGTTGTTGGCCCTTTCACACTGTAAACAGGGAAGGCAGGATGCTCTTTGTCAAGCATTTGTGTGAGTTCTGCTCAGATGAAGTGTCCTTGATTCCTTGGGAAGGCATAAGGGGTACTGCTGTGTTTACCTACCTATTGGACTGTCTCCTTGCAGTATCAGTGAAGCAGAAAGTAGTTTTCCCAAAGTAATTCTAATGAATTACATGTGTATATGCTGGTTGAATAAACACTGCTCCTAACGCAAATGTGTCTAGCATTAGTAAAATACAAAGCAATCTCTAAAACTCTTGAGATGGTAGGGTTTGTTTTGTGAAAAAAAAACCCACAGCTTTCTCAGAATAAAGGGTACTTTGCATTTTATTAACATTTATAAATACAGTATTCAAGTTTTAACTTTTACATGATTGATCTGTGTGCCACTTCATGGTCAGATGTATCCATTGGCTCCTTATTTCTCACCCTTCCTCCTACAGTTGTCAAACAGATCCAGTGGGAAATAGAGCGCGACAAGTGGCTTCACAACAGGGATGTGAAAAGCACCATCAAAAAGAAGAAACAGTTTAGGCACAGAGGGCTGAAAAACAAGTACAAAAGCAAGAAATCAAGATGATCAGTGGGACATCTTGATGGGGAAATTTTAAAAATAATTATTCTTAAATAGTTTTTTATTTAATCACACATCTTTCTGACTTCAGTTCTTGCTGCTTAACCATGCCATCTGGTCATTCTCCCTTATGCCATGAATTCCAGACCGCTCATTGGATTTGTAATAAACTGAAAAATAGGAAAATCCATGTCAGCTCTAAGTGAGACATATCTGACGAGCAGCCCCTTTGTGGCTTGTTTTATTCAGTGTATAACCCTCCAGCTCTGAGACCTCTATCCAACAGTCTGACACTACAGCCATGCCTTAACAATAAAAACTTCTGCAGTGTCTCCTGGGCAAAGTTTTAAGCATCCTAAGCTCAGTTGTATATATTAAGATGCAACAGAAGCTTCAGCCATCCTTCTGAAGCCAATGACTACAAACTCACCTTCCAGAATTGATGGAACTTCTTCTGCATTGTGTATCTGAAATCTGACAAGCAAGAAAGATCCCAGTTACATTCCCAGCATATATTAAGATGAATAATTAAATGCAGTATTTTTATAACTGGAGTTGTTTTACCAAAATTTGAGCTCTTTAGTTACAGCCACCATTAAATAATGTGATGGGAATTTATTTTTTAAAAATAATTTCAGAGACTGTATTCAGGTTACTCATACATATAGCCCCATCATCACAGTGTTTTCTGAGCTTCCTCACAATTGTGATTATCAAGTCCAAGCTACAGATTCACAGGAAGCTGCATGCCTCTCATAGACTGAATGCAGATAAAACCAGGAAAATTTTGTGTTCTTGTACAGATTTATATGTTCACTGAATCATTCCATGGGCTGCTCTGACAACCCAGTAGAAAATCACAGCAGGTTTATGCTATTTTAATTATTTACAGCATCTCATAAAAGGATGTTAACCACTCTAGTACTAACACAAAGCAGTAAAACCTCACTCTTGAGTTCACTGACCTGTCAGATTAGCTCACTGCACCTTATGGAACTGCAATTATAGAAAATATGCAAATGCATATAAGAAATGCAAAAGAGGAGAAAAAACACCCAGCATCAAGTTACAATAGGCTGAAAACATCTATTCTCCATACTTTTGTTACATCTATTTTCTAATAAAAAATACAAAGATGGCTGAAATTTAACAGCCCCCCCCACATCATCTGGATCCTGGAACACAAATGCAAGCTGACCTGAAGGTGAAGCTCACCTTGCACTTGGCATGAAGACCACAGCACTGCTGAAGTGGGTGGATTCTTGCCCTCCCAGCCAAAGCAGCACCTGCCTTTTGGCTCGCCCTGACCCTGCAGGTAGCAGGACAGGCTCTTTTCCCAAAGGGACACAGATCTGTCTAATCAGTGCTGCACCCTGCAGAGCCCTGCAGGCAAAGTAAGGCCACTGCTCTGCAGAGCAAACCTCCTTGTAGTAACCAAACTAGTGCTATGTTTATTCCTTCTGTGTTACCTGGGCACAGGTAAGTCTAAGAGACCTGAGGGACTGCAGCTAAATAATCTGGAAGACAACGCTAGCTGTCTCCTGCCAGCCAGGGAAATGTCCCATCGCAGAGGCTGCGAGACCCAGACTGTCCTGGGTTGTAAGATAAGCTTGTATTCTATTTGCCATCTGTTGGAGGTTGGGTAGGTTTGTTATCTCTTCCAAGAACAATGGTTTGCTCCGAAGAGGTAATGGTTTGTTAATGGGCCATTGACTGACTAACTGCAGGGCTGGAAACGTAACACCATCCCATTGTGAGATGCTCCACCCAGAGGGGGAAGCCAAGCACTCTTTTATTGGATAAAGGGGTACCTTTTGGAAGACAGAGCAGCTCTCTCTCTTTGCGGGATTTCCCAGAGAAACAGCTCCTTCAGCGGGATTCCCCAGAGAAGCGCGATTCCCAGAGAAGCGGCTGGAGTGCAGTGAGGCGGCGGCGGCGGAGCTCGGAGTCAGCCCCGGTGCAGAGGAAGACCAGCTCAACTGCCACCAGATCTTCAGAGAAAACTATACCCTTCTAAAGATCACCACTTCAGCTGCAATTCATCAGCCACCGCAAGAGGAGCAGCTATCATTTCAACTGGACTGCTACCAATACCCCGAATCCTCAGGTTGTGGACTTTATCACTAGTTTTGTTTGTACGGATTGCATTTGCCTCTTTAAATTGTTATCTAGTTTTCTCCTAGTAAAGAATTGTTACTCCCATTCCCATATCTTTGCCTGAGAGCCTTTTAATTTAAAAATCCTGGTAATTCAGAGGGAGGGGGTTTACCTTCTCCATTGCACAGGAGGCTTTTGCCCTCCTTCACAGACTCCTGTCTTGTCAGACCAAGAGATATTTTGGCGCCCAACGTGCGGCTCGAGGACATTGAGAGGGAAAAAGGATTAACAGTTCTTAAGTAATTTGTTTTCTGTTGCATGTAGAAACATCTCCAGCATCACCATGTGGTCTAGTTTACCTTGGTTTGGGTGGCATGTGATCGTAGCTATACTTTTCCCATTTGCAGACCCTTATCTAAAAATGGGTCCTATAACTAAGGCTACTGTGTCTGTTATCAAGTTTGGATTCTGGGTTAATTGGGTGAGGAATTCATGGATCTTTAATTTCCTCTGGAAGGCAGGTACATGGATTCATAGCTATCACACA